TTTTTGCAAAAAAAAAACAAAAACAAAACATAGTCTTTGTTAGACACTAATACTAATAGTACTTCTTGTAGTATTGGTTATGGTAGTGTTTCATTATTAGTCAGCTTCTTAATCCTATTTGTGGTAGGTGTTGTATGTTAGTTAGTTTCCATTCTCTATTCCTAGTTGTGTTAGGAGTCTCTCCTATATATACTCTATCATGTACTTCATAATTCAAGGAGCAATATTATTATTCTAATATTTCAACATGGTATCTGAGCCACCGCTCTTGGTGACCTAAAAAAAGATCTTTGCTCCCACGTCCCGCCGCCGCCGCCGGTATTTCTGGCGACGGCGGCTCCACCCTATTCACCTCTATTTTCTTTTCCTTCTTTATCCTCAAATCAATTTCTCCATTCAAATGAAAAAAAAAGAAAAAAAACCTGTGGAAATCACACAAAAAAACTATCAAAGGATAAACTTCTTTCTTCTTATCTCCATGGTTCTTCAAAAAAAAAACCAACTCCTCACAAACTCCCTGAGATCATCCTATCTTCTCAAAAAAAAAGGAAAAGATTGTTGTTTCTCTCCAATTTACCATATAAGAATCTCATATGTATGTAGATCTTTTCTCCATCACCAATTCTTAATCCATCTTTTTTTTCCTCTCTAAAATCACTCATTCTAATCATCAACCTCGATCCTTTTTCTTTTTCTTTTGTTGAACCAATAAAAAATCCAAAAAAAAATAACACAAAAGCAACGCCAATAGGGGAAGTAGTGAAAGAGGAAAGAATCCTTCTACACCCCTTCAAGAAAGAAATAGGGCATTGCCCGGATCCAAGAAAAAGACAAAGAATATCAAAGATCTTCAGTCAAACAGGCACCTCAAATAGCCTTCTCTATTCTTCTTCGACGCCAGCAGCTACAAGCGCACGTCAACCTTCTCTGTTCTTCTTCGACGTCAGCAGCTACCAGCACACGTCAATTTCTCTCTTCTTGAACGATGTCTACAACTACCAATGCGCGTCAGACTTCTCTCTTCTCCAACGACGTCAGCAGCAACCGGCATGCGTCACACTTCTCTCTTCTCCAACGACGTGAGCAGCCACCGGCGCATGTCCGACTTCTCTCTTCTCAAAGTTTCCAGTTTCCATCTAGTGTCCAAGCTTCCTCTTGCTTCAGCCAGAGTTCATCTTGAGGGGGGATGTTAGACACTAATACTAATAGTACTTCTTGTAGTATTGGTTATGGTAGTGTTTCATTATTAGTCAGCTTCTTAATCCTATTTGTGGTAGATGTTGTATGTTAGTTAGTTTCCATTCTCTATTCCTAGTTGTGTTAGAAATCTCTCCTATATATACTCTATCATGTACTTCATAATTCAAGGAGCAATATTATTATTCTAATATTTCAACAGTCTTCCTCTTGATCTCCTCTTTTTTTGTTTAATATTTAAAAACTTCTGTTTTATAAGTTTTTTTTTCTGTTTTCTATCATTCTGTTTGTTAATTCTTTCTTGTTTGTTTTCAATTTTTTTCCCCGACATTTGTCTTGTCTATTTTTTTTCGATCTTTTATGTTTGTTAACTTGCTGTTTGTTTTTTTTTTATTTTTTTAGAGTCATTTGTTTGGTTGTTTACGTTTGCGAACTTTTTTTTGTTAGTTTTTTAATCATTGTTTGATTTTTTGTTTGTATTTTCTGTTTTATTTTTATGGAGTATATTTTTTGTCTGCCTTATTTTTCCTTTGTTTTCAATATTTTTTGTAAACAAATGAAAAAACTAATTATATACAATAAGCTCAAAAAAATGATAAAAAGTGGAGAACAGGAAACAAATGTAATTTAAAAAATAGTAATAAACAGAATATATTTTGTTTGTTATTTTTATATATTTTATTTTTTCATAAAAAAGATGTTAAAAAATTAATTAAAAATTGGATCCGTTCTTTTTTTATTCGTCTGATTGTTATTTTTTTATATCTCACTCATGTTTATTTTATTTTACTTTATTAATTAATTGATTTTATTTTATTTATCACTCAAAAAAAGATCATACCATATCACGCGTCTTTTTTTTGTTTTATTTGAGATCTTTTTTTGAGTTTTCAATTTTCATTATTAACATGCAATTCAAAAGAAAGTGAATAAAATAAGCTCAACTTAAATTAAAAAAACATGGAAAAAGATACAAAATAACACACAAATAATAATTGTTGTTTTTGATCTTTTTTGTATGTTTTTAATCATGTTTTCTCGATAGAAAAAATCTTATTAGGTCCCTATATCTTTTTATTAGTGATCATCAAGTTCTTAAATTATTTTGATTGTTTGTCATGTCTCTTTATTCTCTAACTAATGCACAAATAGTCCTTTTCGTGACTTTTTAACAAAAAATTCTAATATACCGTAAATTTTTTCTATTTTTTTATTCGCTTTATGTCTTTCACTTATTAGATCCCTACATTTTTTCAGAAGTACTCCCTATATTCATATACATCTTGAGTCAAACTGTGTTTCCTATTTTACAAAAAATTGAACAAGGGATAAAATATCGTTCTTTAGAAACATATGTTATGCCAGAGACATGGACTACATGAAATACTACTAATGCACCAATCAAAAAGTATGAGAACATCGAGAGCGATATATATCCGAGCCAGTGATCCGACAAGAATAGCCAATAGAAGTCCGAATGCAGATTTGTAGGCAAGGCCCAAGAATGGGCCGGGGTGACATCTGATCCAATACCCAAATCACATGGATTCCCCGAATCATGGGACTGAGAGAAATTGATAACGGACTCCCCCCATGATTAACGCACGACTGCCAAAATGGTCGATAATGTAGCACACGAACATCACATACCTTATACATGGTAGAAGTATACTATAAATAGGAGGTTTGCCCTTCATTGTAAAGTAGTTAAAAAAAGTTAATACAATGATATACAAGTTCTAAACCAGTTCTTACTATTTATTTAGTCTTCGTAAGCCATAGTTGTTGGGTTTAATCACATCAGAGAGCACTTTTAAAAAATATAGGAATCCAGTGAGTGAAGGGGACAAAAGGGATAAAATTTGTTTAAAGAAAAATGGACGGCATGCCAAGTTTTGCATGTAAAAGCCACTGTAGAGGCTATCTGTGCACTAGTTTCAAAGTATAGTTTCCTGACAAACACTTAAAATAATTTAAGAAATTGAGGAGCACTCTTGAAAAATATGAGAACAATTGCGTGGCACCTCCCATGGAAAGAGGGGTAGAACGCACATGAAATGCCTCGTGCAACAAGAATATTGATGACATGGCATGTCATGGCTGGTGATTTCCACGCTATTGTATGTGCTTTTATACGGAGCATTTATGCACTCCTTATCTTTGCAAAAGAAATATACATTGAATGATTTATGATAATTTTTGCTTAGTTATATTCTAGCAACTTTGTTATATATAGCAAGTTGTTTTCATTTTTTAGCGAGTTAGTTAATTTTGAATAACTCTTAGAGCATTAAATTTTTCACAGGCTTGTCAAAATATAACATATAGCACGTTATTTTGCTATTAATGGAGATGGTCTTATTCATCAATTTTTTTGAGGTGCTACATGTGAGATGATCTTTGAGAATGTATAGAAAATAAATTGCGAAAAAGTATCTAAAATGCAATATAGAAAAGTACTCCATACACAAATACTATGAGGGTGTTTCCATGGGTCAATGCTTATTCACTCACTAGTACGTGATAAGTAGTTATTGACTTATAAGTTTTATACAAGATAAATATTCTTTTGTAGAAGTAAAATAAATTGAATGATAGAAAAGTCATTTAGAATAGCAAAAATATTGATTTAAAATCTACTTACTTTTTCTAACATATAAGCGACTTATAGATACAGAAAAATATGTCATTTTCTGACTTATAAGTTAAAAAAACTATTTATAAACAGTATCATCTGACGCGTACAGAAAAACAGCCACTATGTATGGTGAAAAGATAAAGTTAACTCGAGATAGGGGTAACAGACAATGACCTTGTTTGGGAATATCGTCTTTGATTAGCGCTAGTACTTTAAAAAAAATTTAATAATATAAATTAATTCAAAAAACGATAATGCTAAAGTATGATCTATATCTTTTTCAAACCTTTTTTCATACAGGGTAAAATTTTACAAAAATGTTAGAAACTTTTGACTTGTGGTTGTACACATCACCCCAACAAAATATGCCACCTATACATGAGGATTGAGGAGGATGTTTGATTTTCTCGTTTTGCACCATACATTTGCAAATTTAAGTACACTTCCAAGTTCCAAGTGCAATTGAAAGGATATGGATACATTCGGGTCGGGGCAAGGTGGGAGATTTACTGAGGATGTAAGGAGGGATAGTAATTGTCAGTTTTTCGAACAGAGTACCGTTAGACACTCGTGTTATTCCATGACATTGATTATCGATATCATGAGAACCTCCTCCCATTAATTTCTTTTTCTCTTTCCTTTTTGAATTGTTCAGAAATTTCTTTCATATTTTCTATTTTGACAATAAATTTTTAATGAATGTGTTAGCATGCTTCCACTTTTAATGTACATTATTTACTCTATTCTATCACATCAAAGACAAACATGATTTTTTTTATAATTTTTAATTTTTTTAATCTCCATAATAAGTCAAATCAGAATTTTTAGTGAACAGAGGGGAGCATTAGTTAACAGTTATCACATCATATTATTGATTGATAATCTACTTATTAATTCCCTAAAAAAATCTACTTATTAATCTAAAAAATCAAAATAGAAAGAAATTTAGGGTCAGTATACAGAATTGATAGAATTAGAATTGAAATGAAATTGAAATTTCATGGAATTCAATTCCATAGAATTAAATTCTGCCAATTCTAATTTTTTTTTTTGCACTATCAAGTCCAAATCTACATAATTATGCTACTAAACTTCAGAATTGGAATTGATGTATTCAATTCCAATTTCATATTTAAGTAGGCCTTAGGATTTAAGTAGAGAGAGAGTATTTTGAGGCAAAGGTTCGTCTTCTTCCTCATCCGATCCTTGCCATTATATTCCTATTCACAGTTTGGATAATATCCATTTTTTGCGGCCTCTTGTCCTCCTCGTCTCTTTTCTCTACCCCTCACTGAAGCACAGAACGAACGACGAAATAAAACCTAAAAAGTCTGATCGTTAGCGTCTTTCCTAGCACAAGTTTATGCATTTCATCGTTTTTGGGTTCTCAGATTGGCGATCGGTGAAGTTCTCAACAGTTTTGGCAGCAGACTATGTTGGATTTGGTGGCGTACTCTCATGGACCGAAGGTAAAACCACCAGCTAGCAGTAAATTAAGCTCAGAAATTTGCAGACTTTTCTCTTGCTTTTTCCGTTCATGAAGGAAGATAAAATTGAGGGGTTGAATATTAACGAAGAGACCGCAGAAGTAATATGAACCACACAATTCTTTAGAAAGTGGAACCTTATTTTGCTACCAACCACAAAGAAATGAAACTTTTTAATGGATGAAGGGAGATTTTTTGTACTAAGCCAATTCGTGTGAAGGGCAGAGATGAAATGGGGGAGAAATAAACTTAATGAAATGTTTCTGGCATCAGACAATCTGGTTAATGGAAGTTCTGGTCACCTCGGGTTCCCATTGAGCCTTTTATGAGCTAGCCCAATTCTATTGAAAGAGTTAGGGTATACTCCATTTGTTCCTAAATGGATTGCACAGTTTGACTTGCACTTAAATTAAGAGTTGGAAGAGAATTTCTCAAGAAGAAAGTTTGGGAAGTAATTTGGAATGGAGGGAGTACATCCCGACAAGTCTGCGAAAGTGGTGTTCAGTATTCAGGTTTAAGGAGGCTTGAAGTAAACAGTTTATCAGAGAATTTTGTTTTATTTTGCATTTTAGTATGCATAATGCCTTTACTATGGACACGATATATTCCCAAAATTAATTTTTTTTGTGCGTGTGGTCAAAATACGATTAATGAACCCTTTACTGTCATCTTACTTTTTTTATCAGACATATTTATTAAATCACTTATGGAGTAACATACATACCAGAACAACCTATTTCTTGATATAATTAGATGCATTTTTTTTGTTTTGCTCCAGGGATATGTTGTTGTTACTCAAACAAGTGCAATCCCAGCTAGATTTCATGGACCTCGTTTTTGTAGGCATTATTCAAAAGCTGTGTTTTGTCATAATGGACTGCACCATTTATCATCACTTTCTGTCTACTGCAAGACTCATAAATCGCATATAACAAGTGATGCATACAAAAGTAGGCATATATTCAATGGAAAAAGATATTACCTCTTCAAGCACGTGCCGTCTCAAAGGTACAGATTTCAAATGTGTTCATCACTTGATGTTGCGAGTGCTGTTGATGTCATCAATGACTTAGGGATGGACACTTTAACATTTTTAGCTGTTACTGTATTGGTTGTTCCAGCGTTCAAGATTATGAGAGCCAGTCCTGTAAGTCGGTTTCATTTGAAGCTTTATCTTGTCTACTGACCTATATGATATGACAGACTTATTCTATCTAACTGTTTTCAGATTCTTGGCTTCTTCTTTGCTGGAGTTGTGCTCAATCAACTTGGCCTCATCAGAAATATCACCGATGTGAAAGTCTTGTCTGAATGGGGGATTCTATTTTTGGTAGGTTCGATTGCCGGAGGTTGAAATTTATCTTCACCCTTCTCAGAACTGTTTTCATAGGCAGCCTTTATGATTAGCACTTATCAGTCATGTCAGCCCATTCCATTAGTTTACTGTATATCATATTTTCTTCCTCAAATATTGAACATTTAGTGATAAATTTAAGAATTTTAAATGCAGCTGTTTGAGATGGGTTTGGAACTTTCGCTTGCACGGTTGAAAGCTTTGGCAAAGTTTGCATTTGGGATGGGATTGTCTCAGGTATCCTACTGAAAAGAAACTCAATATCCTTGAACTTCATTGTGCTTTAAATACTATGAAAAGTGGGCAAAAAAAGGTAATCACAGCAATTAGGAATCTCATATGGAATTGTATCAACATGGATTTTCAAGCATCTGAGCATTATTTTAGGGAACTTATTAATTTATTACTTTCTGCATTTTATGTTTGAAGGCTATAGGTAGAACCCTGAACCCCTCTTAATGGAAGAAGGGGGCGGGTTTTGATTAAAAATTGTATAGCTATTGAGCAGAATAATTCTTGTTGGGAGGGCTTCCTTGGAAGTTCTTGTTTGATCTTTTTTATTTCAGTTTCTTTCCGCCATAAATAAACACTAACTTTTCTTAGTACATGGTCTTTTTACTCTGTTTCATATTAATTTTGGAAAATATTACCAATTGTAAGGTGAGTGCGATGTTTAAAAGACCAAACAATTTAGGTTGGTAGATTCTCTAAGGGGTTTTCCCATCCATTAATTAAAGAAATGGTTTGAGTTCAGGATATGATCACCTTTGTAGTAAGCATCCAAGTTCAACCTAGAATAGATTGTTATAAGAAACTCATATTTTAAAAAGGATAAGCTTTATTTAATTAATGACCATGTTTAAAAATATACTTCCTCCGTCCCCAAATAGTAATTGAAACTTTTATTTGGGAACGGAGGGAGTATTCGTTTATACTTAAACAATAATATCACCAAAGGTCAGCAACAATTATATTCTTCCTGAAGCAATGTGAGAATTTGTTTCAAATAATCATATGATCCAAATTGGACACCAAAAGAAATACGGGACACATGAAGCTTATGAGCTGCTTAAACGTTAGATCAATGTTTGAAACACTTCTAGATCTATAAGTACTTGTTAGATACTTACACGAGATCGGATCAAAGCAAAACCGAATATTTTGTTGTTGTGAACTGTACAAGGTTCTTTGTGTTCTCTAAATATAAATAGAGAACAAACCAACACAACTTTAACAAACCACAACACAATTTTTAGAAACTACATGAACCTACCTTTTAGAAACTGCCTAACTGTTTTATTTTAAATTAATTAAATATGAAAGAAACACTAACTAACTCCATACTAAGGCCCTATTCTTTTGGGTTGGAATTTCAGAGTTAGATGTTGGAAGAAACTGGAAGGAGTTGGGAAAAATTGGAAGGAGTAAGAAAATGTTAGAAGAATTTAAGTGTTCAAAAATTACATCATTAAATGATCATCGAAATAAATATGTAGGGAAACTCTAATTTTGGATAAAAAAGAATTCATCATTGTCCGTGTTTGAGGTGATAGGTTATAAATTTGGATATATAATGTTATTTTATATTAATCATATATAAATACCTTTTCAAGTCATTGTTGGAACAAACTGGAAGGAGTTGGAAGGAACTAGAAGGAGTTGGAAGAAGTTGTAAGTTAATTTTCCAACTCAAACGAACAGGGCCTAATTGACTCTTTACTTACTAACCCGAACATTGACCCATTCAGTTATATGTGAACAATCCTGATTAAATCTAACAGAACTGTCAAATGATTCAATTTTGGGTATACTACTCAGTTGATATTTGCATTGAATTTTGTCCCATTGAAGGTTATATTGTGCACTCTTGCTTTTTCTGCATTTGAACTTCCCCCTAATGCTGCCATTGGGACGAGGATTATGGAATTTCTTTTTCACTCAAGACCTGATCTGGTTAGTAGCTTTCACTATATTTGCTGCTTTTGTTTCTTCTCTCCCTCAATTTCTTTGTTTGACTGTATATTTGCATCTCTAGTTTCATCAAGCGGGCATTATTTTTAGCATGTAGCCATTTTTTGTAGAAACAGATAATACTCCCTCCATTCAAAAATGAATTACCCATTTCGATCAACGTGCAAAATCCCATGACTTTTAAAATGATTTTATTTACAAATTGGAATTGAAATAAAAAAATATATATTTAAAAACTACATCAAAAATTCTACAAAACAAGAGGTGAAAAGAATATTTTATTTTATCAAATGATCAATGAAAACATACAAACAAACAAAAGTTATCGAGAGGCCGTAATAGTAAAGAGGTAAATCATTTTGGGATGGAGGGAGTATATTGGCACTTTCTGTTTCACCATTTTCTGCTTCTCTTTCTTAATTTGGGAGTGTATATATAATTCTTGTGTTATGGTTGGTAGTATGGTAGATGCAATGGACTCCTGGTTTTATTCATGCTTAAGTTTTTTTATAAAGTCTGGAGTAAAATCTGTTTACCGTTTGAATTGTTCTAACCTCAGTACTAGGCTACTAGCCATTAGTAAGTCTCACAAATAATTGATTAATTTCTATTACGCCGTAGTATAAAATAAATCCAGGTGCTTCTACATAATGCATATTGAACCTCTATCACTAATTTATTGAAATGAAGATTGGACTCATGTACCCAACCACTTTTATATCAGCTGTTGATCCATAGTTCGGGGTCTTACAATAATATTAGATTTGTTTTGGGTAACTTTGGTACACACTCTGTCAAGAAAAGCCCCTCTCCTCTCCAGAAAAAAACACACCTAAGAACAAACACAAAAGAAGTGGTGGTAGTAGTAGTTTAAGGTTATGGTGCAACACGTCGGTGTATAAAAAAAATGATAATGCACACTCATAAGTTTATTTTTTACTGCTATATTGGTAACTTATTCTGCACTGTAGGTCAACATCAGAAGTATAGATGAGGCTATTGTAATTGGTGCAGCTCTATCATTGTCTTCCTCTGCTTTTGTTCTGCAGGTATTGGACTATAAATGACTTAAATACCACATCTAAATCTTGTGTTCGGGGTGTGTAAACAGTGCATGGGAAGAAAGTTTCTAATCATTATCATTGAACATTGTATAGTTTATATTAGATAAGCAAGATTATGGATCTGTTCATTGTGTAATATGCGTGCTTACGTGAGAGTAGATCGTAACAAAAATAAACCTAAACCCTCAAAAACATATATCAATATTCAGAGAGTGGTCCCTTGAGACGTGGAATGTTTATTGTATAGGTGGTTAGTCACGATCCACTAGTCATGAAGCACAAACCGGATCGTGACATCATCCCTTGACTTCTGCACCGCGCTCCGTCTGACCTAAACCCATCTCGTGCCCTAACCCGACCCGTTTATCTCCAAATGGGTGGGTCTTTTGGGCCGGACGGTACAGTCATGGGCAGCCAGGTCGCACACATTATGACTAACACGGTTGGCTGTGTATATTTTGCCTCATATTTATTATACATTTGACTGGTCCCAATATTCCCATAACTATGAAGCTTCTCTATAATTAGACCATGCATAGTGGTTCAGGTCCTTCTAGGGAATTTTTCGCCATGTGGAGTCCATGTCAATAGAGTCATTTTAAGCAAAATAAATGTGTAATGGTGTATACACATTTCAAGCCCCTTCATCATTACTCAATAATTATTATTTCTTTAAATTTTTTGTGAAGAGTGTGCTGTATATTAGATGTGTGATGGGTTTCTTTAGATTTAAGAAGCATAGCCCGTGAAGAGAATAACACCACCAAGGGCTTTTATAATATTAACGCCTAGAGTAGTGGTCCGCAGCATCGTGATTGAACGTTAATGGGGAGGTGATGCCCCCATTACGCATGGTCTAATATCATAAAATTATAATCCGTGAATTTTAATTTTGTTTGTGAAATTTAAAATTCATCGAATCTTGATTCAGTTAATAATATCTTCACGGATCCGTGATAAAAGAATATTTGGACCAGCTACTTTGGAGATACTTCTACTTTAGCATTTTATAGATTCTTGCAGAGAGGGGTGAACTTCCAACCAGGTTTGGATCAGCTACTTTGGGGATACTTCTACTTCAGGTGTCATTTGCTGTTTATATGTAACAACACATTCTTCTGAAACAACAGTATATTCCTTTTGTCCTTGAAAACCATCTTAGATGTTGAATTAATCTTTTATTCTCCCTATTTCTTAACATTTTCAGGACATAGCTGTAGTACCTCTGCTAGTGGTACTACCCGTTCTAGAGAGTCAGGTACACTTTAACTGTTCTGAGCATCAACTTTAATTGTAAGTTTTGTAACTAGTTATTATTATTAGTGCTATGACAGCTCATCCTAGACTTAAATCTTTTCTTTTTGTAAAATGAAAGTTCAGTGGGCCATGCTATTATTTTATCACTAGAAATTTAGTTGTTCTTAGAATTCTGGATGCAGAATTTGGTGGAAGAAAGCATTTGGCCAATGCTTGCTCAAGAAAGTTTGAAAGCTCTAGGCGGACTTGGTTTGCTCTCTCTAAGTGGAAAATACATCTTGAGGCGAGTTTTTGAGGTGCTGAAGAAAGTTTCAGAGAAAATTCCTTACTTTTTAAATGAAGTCATAAATGTTTCTTTATGATGGGATGCAAAAAATGCTGAAAATTTTGTTTTAGATCGTTGCAGAAACAAGAAGCTCAGAAGCATTTGTTGCCCTTTGCCTTTTAACAGTTGCTGGGACATCACTTTTAACTCAGCAATTGGGCTTCAGTGATACGGTCAGAAATACTGTTTTCAGATAACTAAATGAAATAAATGCGACAATTGCTAATGAGTTATATTTGTTCTTTTATTAGCTTGGAGCATTCCTGGCCGGGGCATTATTAGCAGAAACAAACTTCCGTACTCAGATTGAAGCTGATATAAGACCATTTAAAGGATTACTTCTTGGGCTATTTTTTGTGACCACAGGAACTTCTATTGATATGCAGGTATTACCTTCTGAAATTTGCAAATTTTTTGTCATAAAAAAGGTCACGCCGTTTTTGTCTGCATTGCATTTTTTTCTATTTTGCTGTAAGTACTCTTGATAGGATATAACTTGATTAATTGATTGCATGAAAATTAAAGAAAGACACCATAATAAAGTACTCGATATGCTTGTTATGCAGTAATAAAACATATAAAATGTACTACTTGTTGAGATCCCCACCATCACTCCACAACACACACACACCAATAAATTCTTTGCCTGAGCTAATAAAGCTGCCTTCTCAGAAATAATATTTAACCTTTGCAGCTTCTTTTCCGAGAATGGCCAAATGTTCTTTCATTGTTGGCAGGCCTGATTGTTATAAAGACACTTATTATAACTGCAATAGGCCCTCGAGTTGGGCTTACCCTACAAGAGAGCATACGGATTGGATTCCTTCTCTCTCAGGGCGGCGAATTTGGATTTGTGGTATTTTCATTAGCAAACAGGTTTCCCATGCTTCTATTTTCTGTAACTCAATTGGTGCATATATATTTGTTTGAAATTTTTAACTTCAAACTGATGCTTTGATTTTTTTCTCAACTTGGAGGCTTGGTGTGCTCCCACTTGAGCTGAACAAGCTTCTTATAATCGTTGTTGTGCTCTCCATGGCTTTGACACCCTTACTCAATGAAATTGGACGAAATGCGGCTAATCTTATTGATGAGACCTTTGATGGTGATGATGATGTAAGTCATTTCTTCTCAATCTAATTTTATCAAACAATACTTCTTAATGAGACGAGGTTTTTTCCTATTACTCCCTACGTCCCCAAAAATCAGTCCTATTTGAAAACTTATTTTTGTCCCAAAAGAGAGTCATTTTCAACAAAAGAAGCTAATTTTCATTAAACTTAGAGGATGGGTGGGTGGGTGGGGGGTGGCAGTTACATATTCTCATGTAACATCTTTGACAATTGAAATTCTATTCTTTTACCTTGAGCGTTTAGAGGATGACATACAGTAATGTGTGACAGAACTTAATAACTTCCGAAGGAAGATGGAGCTGGGGTTCCGGTTTTATATTTTTTTTCCATACATGTTTTCTTGTTGTCTTTTATTTTTTAACTATATTTCCTGCCTGTTTTGGCATGATAAAGGCCAAATGTTTATTAGATGTGATCATATGGAAGTTTTGTGCACTTGAAATGAAGTGTGTGTGAATATTTAGTTCAAACCTCAAGGAAGTATTTGATTCATGAAGCTGCCATGACTTCATAATTACTTATCTAAGGTTCTATTATACAGCATTACACTGTGTATACATGCATGTGCGTGCGTATTTTACATTATTACTTACATAATGGATAATGCCAGATGGGACTTGAGTTAGATTGAAGAGACATTAAGTGAGATAACTGACAATTAGTGTTGAATAACAAGAGTTCTGTTTATATAAACTTTCATCTTGACAATTCTTAAAAGACTAATGCAATGCTTATTGCTCCCCTTCACTCCCCTGTTGAACAACATTTCAAGTTGGAGCATTCACATTTTATTCTCCAATCTAGACAGAACATTTGAACTTGAATTTCACTTAAATCTTGTTGCTTCTTTTTCATCATTGACTTTCATGGTTATCTCAGAAACCAGCTCATGAAGTTGACTTCAATACTAGTGAACCAGTTGTTATTGTTGGGTTTGGGCAAATGGGTCAGGTACTGAAGTCATATTATTCATTTCTGCCGCAAGAGCTTTATGGGTTTTCTTGAGTTCATTCTGAATGTTCTTCAGCTTTTCTATACAGGTCCTTGCCAATTTGCTATCTGCCCCACTAGCTTCAGGTTTAAACAGAGGAGTGGGGTGTCCTTATGTTGCTTTTGATCTAGACCCTTCTGTTGTGAAGGTACACATTTTTTGTTTGACTAGCCACTTTTCATTTCTTACATTTCTATTTTCTTCATGCTCAGAAAAGCTATGCAAGGCAGGTGTTTTAAAAGTCTTAGGTACCCACTTGAACAGGCTTCAAGAGATCTTGGTTTTCCTGTTCTCTATGGTGATGGGTCCCGTCCTTCAGTTCTCCGATCTGCTGGTATATCATCCCCAAAAGCTGTGATGGTTATGTATGCTGGGAAAGAGAAGACCATTGAGGCTGTTCAAAGGATTCGACTTGCTTTCCCTGCAGTATTAAATCTTCTCATCCCCACCCCAACAGCACCAATGCACACTCTCCTGCATGCAATACTAGTCTTTAATAAGAAAAATACTATTTTTGTTTCATTACCGACAAAGGGTCAACATGGGCAATAAGAAGTAAAAGTCTTAGAAGGCGTAAAAATCAATACTCCCCCATCTCAAAAATAGTCCTATTTGAATTTTGGAAAAAAAAAATCTTGTCCCAGACTCCTAGTAAAAAAGTCATATTTGAACAAAAGAAGCTAAATTTCATTACTTGTTTTTTTCCTTTCCAAAAGAAGTCTCTGTAAAAATTAAGTTTTTTAATCTTAGTTATACCGACATATAATTTTTTTTTTTAAATATATAGAATCGATGATTCCCAATTGTTGTACCATGCTAAACTTTCAAAGTGTACCTTGGTCCTTGGTGAATCAAGATTTTTATTTGGGACGGAGGTGTTACAACATTTTAATATGGGAACCAGTTAGAAATCATTTATAGCAAGTGTCAAATATTCTCTAAGATTCACACAACCACGGTTTGCTCCAGAAACTCATTTCAATTCATTTTATAGATTCCAATATATGCACGAGCTCGGGACGTAAAGCATTTATTAAACCTAAAGAAAGCAGGTGCAACAGATGCTATTCTTGAAAGCACAGAGGTAAGATATCTAACCCTTCATTTTTCCCGCTATTTTTTTTTGAATACATGAGCAATGCCTATGATAACCCATGTATCCCTGCAGTCAAGTTTACAACTTGGCTCCAAATTGTTGAAAGGGTTTGGTGTAATGTCTGACGATGTAACCTTCCTGAGTCAATTGGTCCGAGACTCTATGGAGCTACAAGCCCAAGAAGCACTGGGTAAAACGGATGATCAAGATAAAGTTATGAAGCCTTTGCAGGTAATAATGCAAAACACATGATTAAATGGACACATGCTCAGTTTATCATATGCTTTCCTTGAGAGTACGGAATAAGTTAATTATATTTTCAACTCATTTCACATTTTGTCACTCCTTTTCTTTGAGTATTATTCTTTTCCCATCAAGATACTTTCAAAGCTTCATTTCAATCTTCATTGCATTTCCTACTCGCAACAACAACCCAGTATAATCCCAACTTTGTCGGGATCTAGGGATCAAGATGTACACAGTCTTACACCCATGTAAAAACAGAGAGACTGCTTTCGTTACACCCTAGATGCATTGCTGCATTTACTGCCCAAAACTTCATAGAGAGTAAGAAGCAAGCGGATTCTATTGTGCTATTTTTATTTAGTCCATTGTGTGCCCGGAATTAAAACATTGTCAATGACTGTTTTGGATCCATTAGCAATGGACAGAATAAATGCTCCCTCTAACTCAAATAAATGTCATGATGTCCATTATAACAAAATTTTGGTTTTTAAGGTGACAATTAATTTTGTCATAAGTTGACAAACATATCCCTATGGATTTCTAGGTATTAAAAGTAACAAGCAAATGCGAAATAAATATGAAAGGGAAACTTAGTTATTTTACCACGTTTAACTTTATTGGGTTACAAAGTGACCACTTATTTGTTGTTAAGAGTATAAAAGCATTCAGGGACCTTCAATCACAAGCTTTTGCTTTTGCTTTTGGTTGGGTTGGTTCCTTGACATTTGTGAACAAAATGCATGTGCACTTAGCTGCCTATAGTATATATTCTTTTCTGTTGAGTATGCAAACAGGATTGCCGTGTGGCATTCAATTGCTGAAATTTGCTAAATGCGGTAAAAATCTTTTGACTGACTAGGTAAGAGCAGGGGACTTGTTAGTGGCCGCAAGAGAACCAACCACATCTGAAGGCGAACAATGGAAAATGCAGGAGCAGACTGGTAAAAGTTTTGCCATCTCAAGTTCTGATCAGTTGACTGTTGATGGTGAAAACCATTTAAAAGACCATAGTGAAAGTGAAGCCAAGAAAGGTTTTCCCGTAAGTTCAGAAAATATCAACAGTGACAGTCAGTAGGTAGGTAGGTGGAAGCATTTGGGGTTGCAAAGCATTCAACTTAGAGATACTAACTCCAAAACACACAACATTTTTTTAAAAGCCTAGTAGAGAAGAAAAGGCTGTCTAATTTGTGGTCATTGGTTCACTACCTGTATATATTCAGTTTTGTGGTAGAAAATGCTACTTTAACCCCAAGAATGACACCAAGTTTGACACCCCACGCACAGACAATTATTGTTTGTGTGACTCTACGAGTCATTAGTGGTGTCATCCGTGGTGTGAGTGTAGCATGACCTGTTTTGTGATAGAATATATAATTTCGAAACCTTTTTTGGTTGCAAAATTAGCAACTTTGTGTAGTATGTACACTCTGTATAGAATACAACTTTTATTACATGCAATGTAATGCAATGAGAGGGGTACCTAACAACAATAGTGAGTTTAGGGCATTTTGATCAATGCCAAGAAAATACTTGAGCATAGAACTGTGAGGCAGGGTATCTTGCGGCCCAATTCGATCAATGATGACCTCTGTGTGACATATTGACTCTACAAACGTTAGTTTTTTTTAAAATGTGAAATTTATTGAAGAGTACAATATTGAGTTTATTGCACCAATACACTCTGGTCTAGTAAATATGCATCATTGTCGCCTATTCCTTTAAAACTTACGTTGTTGACTCTCATAGTTTCGATATTTCTACACCAATGCCTCCTCTAGACTATATTACCCTTCAATTTCGGGTGAATAGCTCGTTGCCCTTTATAGTTTAAGAAATGAAAGTTATTTTTCAAAATTGTATTTTAAAATGTTTTAAAAATTAAAAATTATTTGTCTTTGAAATAAAAAATGAAAAAAAAATATATATTTCATTTGTTTCAAATTAAATAATTTTAATTTTTTATCTAAAAAAATTGCATAAATTTCATGATTAGTTCTTTATAACATGAGTTTTTTTTAAGTTTTGTCTTCTATTATTAAATATTACCCACCAGATCTTTCTTTTATGGATACGTTTCTACAAATAACCCTTTTTTAAATCTCTGATATGTTGGTGTTAATTTGAGCGATAAAAGTGTAGGGACCAATAGATGGATTACATGATAAGATTTTTTTTGAACTGATGCCCAACATATTTCCTTCATGACTTAAGTTTTTTTTCTATAAAAGTAATGCTTCACATACTTTTATTTTTCTTCATTTTATTTTCTATACTTTTTTATTTTAATTTTTATTAAAAAAGAAATGTTATAAATTTAGTTTTAAAAATTAAACAGAGAAACAAAAATGATAAAAATAACTATAATAGGGAATGAGCTTTAGTGCAAAAAAGAAAAAAATATTTCATTGATTTTTGTTTCATGAAAATGAATCAATACAAATTTTTTTGGACAAAAAATGAAAATATTTCATTAGAGACAAATGAAATTTATGATATTTTTCTTTATTTCATTATTTTTTTATTTTTAAAACTATAAAAAAATAATTTTAGAAAAGAAATTTTCCCGAAAATTTAGTAATGAAGAGATTAAAATAATTTGAGAAAATATATACTCCGTATAAAGATATATGGAGCATTACTATTGTAATTTTTAATAAAATTATTAATGCTAAAAAACATAATTATGGAGTGGTTTGAGAAAAAGAAGAAGAAAGGGAGTAGTGGTTAGCTTTATCATCTTCTTCGCTTACCTAAAAAAGTCTTGAGAACCAGAAGCGAAGCTCGTGGATGAATCAGACGCCAAAACCCCTCTAAAGTTCAACTAATTGCTTAGCTCTGTCGAGGTCTGGAGTGATCAGGGATGGCTATAGCTCCAACCCCTCCTCCATCTTCACTACTTCCCCAACCTTCCTGGTTCACTCCCAAAAGGTGCTTTTTTTCACTACTCAGAAAATTCATACGATTGATCATCTAGATTCTGAATTTGAACTATTCGAGTCCACTTGGTTGAATGTGTGGACTTCGCCGTGGCTAATTTTACTTTTACCCTTGGTTATGATGCTAAGTTTGTTCAGATATGTTTATACTGTTGACTGGTAATCCTATGCTTCGCCTATACCATGTGCCACCAAATAAGTGATTTGTACCCAATCGGTCATTCTCTGTCATAATCGGGCTGAAAGTTCCTTTTTTGATAAACATTCCGTTCGGGTTCTGAATTTTCCCATTGCATTCTTCAGATTGATCTACTACATTCAATGTATTGGATTTTTTGGTCTGTACTCCATGCGGGCGGGAAAATTTAGAGAGAAATACCTAATTAGGACTAACACGTGTTTCAATCGGTCATTCTCTGTTTTGATAAACATTCCGTTTAGGTTCTGAATTTTCCCATTGCTTTCTTCAGATTGATCTACTACATTCAATGTCATTGAATTTTTTGGTCTGTACTCCATACGGGCGGGAAAATTTAGAGAGAAATACCTAATTAGGACTAAAACATGCTTCATATATCATTGTATTTTTTGATCTGCACTCCATACGGGTGGGAAAATTTAGAGAGAAATTCCTAATTAGGACAAACACATGTTTCAATCGGTCATTCTCTGTCATAATCAGGCTGAAAGTTCCTTTTTTGATAAACATTCTGTTTAGGTTCTGATTTTTCCCATTGCATTCTTCAGATTGATCTACTACATTCAATGTCATTGAATTTTTTGGTCTGTACTCCATACGGGTGGGAAAATTTAGAGAGAAATACCTAGATACAGTAATTAGGACTAAAACATGTTTCATATATCATTGAATTTTTTGGTCTGTACTCCATACGGGTGGGAAAATTAAGAGAGAAATACCTAATAAGGACTAAAACATGTTTCATATATCATTGATTTTTTTGGTCTGTACTCCATACAGGTGGGAAAATTTAGTGAGAAATACCTGATTAGGACTAAAACATTCTTCATATATCATTAAATTTTTTGGTCTGTACTCCATACGGGTGGGAAAATTTAGAGAGAAATTCCTAATTAGGACTAACACATGTTTAAATCGGTCATTCTCTGCCATAGTCGGGCTGAAAGTTCCTTTTTTCATAATTCCTTTCAAGTTCTGATTTTTCCCATTGCATTCTTTAGATTTAACTACTACATTCAATATCTTTAAATTTTTTGGTCTGTACTCCATATGGGTGGGAAAATTTAGAGAGAAATACCTAATTAGGACTATAACATGTTTCATATGCCAAAATAGGACCTTCAACGTTTTATGCCAACATATGACTTATAGTTCCAAATAATGCCAACACATTAATGCCAAAAAATATTGTAAAATGTCAATACACAATGTCAAATCGTAACGTTTCGTAGTGCCAACACTCATATCTAAGGGATGAAAAAATAGGAGGTCTTATTTTGGTATAAGCTCTATGTTTTAGTCTTATTTAGGTAGATTTCTTAAAAAATTACCATCATGCCCATTTTTGAAGGGTTGATGATGGTAATCTAGCAGTTATGGGTTAAGTTGTTTTAATTTACAAAAGTGCAGACTTTGGAGTTGCGTATCGCCAGTATGGTTGAGAGATTACTATCCAAGTGAGAGAATTGAAATGTGAAACTTGGTTGCGTAACTGATATATTATGCTTGTATATTGATTCTGGTGGTTATGCTGCTAATGGCTTAGGTTGCTTGCAATTTTCTGCTTAGTCAACTTGCTAAATTATGTGGACCGTGGAGTTATAGCAAGCAATGGTGTCAATGGGAGCCCTGGAAGTTGTACTGAAGGTGGTATATGTTCATCTGGCACTGGTATTCAGTAAGTATATATGCTTCAAAAAAATGCAATGGTTCAGTGCTACTTATGAACTCTTCATTAACCCCTTTCAATAGTTCAATCTAAAGTTAAGTAACTTTAATCTTCTTTGTGTAAATAGGGGTGATTTTCAATTGAACAATTTTGAGGATGGTGTCATATCATCTGCTTTTATGGTTGGGCTATTAGTGGCGTCTCCCATTTTTGCATCATTAGCAAAGAGGTAACAAATTTCATTACTTTATTGAAATGCGATGGATTTACTTTGAATTCCTCATGTAGGAATAATTTGCATCTTGTTTAGAAAATAAAGCAATGAAAACGTTTTAAAATTTTGACAAGTGAAAGAATATATGTTGTGATGTTATAACAGTAGTATTTGTGTAGGAAAGGTAATTTAGAATGACCATGGTCAATTGGTCACTTTTCTATTTTGCACTTATACAGTCAAACCAACAACCATCCTCTATAAAAGCAATTCACTATGAGTCTACGACTTTCATATTTATTTTAGAACAGATTTTTTAGGTGTATTTTTATCTTCTATAACAGCTTTCTATCTATAGAAGCAACACCCATAATCTGATTAGTACTGTCTTTGGAGAAGTAACTCTCTATAACAACCTATCTTCATTATTTACGATACGTGCAGTACGTACCTGATACATGAGACTCACTTTTTTTTCAATGAACAAACCCCTTCACTGTTCCGCATTTACTCCTCAAAGCTCAAAATATGGATCACCTCTTTCTTACTCTGTATTTACTTCTTAGGCCACAATATGAATTGCAAGCTCAGGCATTTTATCATTTCTAAGAAGGTAGAACATAGAAAATGTGCTACAATTGTAAAAAAATTCCACTAACTCAAAAAATAGGTCTACAATGCAAAAAAAATTAATTTTGAGGTGTTGTCCATTTTTATTTATAAAATGAATACATGTTATATGCATATAAAAACATGCTGTTATAGGCGTCTCCACTATAACATCAAAAAATGTTTGGACAAATGAGGCTGTTATAGAGAAGTTTGACTATATATGAAGTTCTTGTGCAACATATCCATAGTGTGAGTAAATATTAGTTGAAAGGAATAACATGAAAGGGAGCTGAGAAGAGAAAATAGAACCTTTAGTTATGATCCTACTTTGTTTATTTTGTTTTATATTTTGGTGAATCAGTTTCGAGAAAGTTAGCACTTTCTTATGTGTGAAAATTGTTTTTCTGCGCTTTGCAGTGTCAATCCTTTTAGGCTTATTGGAATTGGATTGACAGTCTGGACTTTGGCAACTGCTGGTTGTGGGTTTTCATTGAACTTCTGGTCAATTACAATATTCCGCATGTGAGTTAACCTAACTATCTCTCTCTCTCCCAGACTCCCACACCGCTTCTCTTCTTCAGTGAACTGCTGTCAGGTCTTGTTATTCTGCTTCTGTACATATCTTTCTTTTTCATATATCAGGTTTGTTGGTGTTGGTGAAGCTTCTTTCATAAGTCTTGCTGCTCCTTTCATTGATGATAATGCCCCTGTTGAGCAGGTCTGTCTCTCCTTTTGTCAATTTAAGTACATAGTTCACTTTTGGCAGCTGGTGCAAATGTCAACAGCGGACATGATATGAGTAGAAAACCTTACAGAAATGAACTACTGTTTAACTTAATAAGTTAATAGTTCATATTCTGACCACCAATGTTTATGGTGTTTTGTCTTCATTTGTTGATTTGTTTGTGGCATGGAGTTTCACATTA